AGATGTTGTCAAGGTTTATGCAATCTCAATCTTTTTCTAGTTCGAAATGCAGTGTGAAACTATAATCTCTAACGGTTTTTGAAATTTTATGTTGCTACAGTTAATCGATGTTCTGCGTTGGCTCGGGTTCACAGAAACAGAGAAAGAGGCTCATATAAGATGGGCTGTTTCCAACACTGTCTCCTTATTACATTCTCACAGCGAAGCAAGAGTTTCACTTGCAGAAGCAATTGCTAAAGCCAAACCTATTGGTGCTTGTATTGAAGCAATTGAATCTGCAATTTCTAGACATCAAATTTAACTATTTCTGATCTTCAAACCAAATTCATAACTTCATTTGCAAACACAGATTTTAAACCATATGAAAATCCCAAAACTATTGTGGAATAGAGAGCCATGTCTATGTTACAAGCTAAAAATTCAACCAAGAAATAAGAATCAAAATTCTTGAGAAGCGGATCCGATATCGCCTTTGTTCTTCCCAACCTTTGATGGGAGAAGTGTCTGATGAATATTAGGCAAAACTCCTCCATTAGCGATTGTTACACTTCCAAGAAGTTTACTAAGCTCTTCATCGTTTCTCACTGCAAGCTGAATGTGTCGTGGTACGATACGTGTCTTCTTGTTATCTCTTGCCGCATTTCCAGCAAGCTCCAATAGCTACGATCATATCAACATCAGACTCTAGCAGACACCTTAACATCGAACCAGTTAAGCAGAGATCGAAAAATCAGCCGATAATACATATCAAGTAGATCATAATCATTCCGCAAAAATCGAGAAATCCGAAGATTATCAAACTTCTAGTGATATATCAACCGAGTGATTCTCAATTCTCATATAGAGCAAGCAATTGACGAACAACAAAACCGATTACACAATTCAAATCAAAATTAACGGAACAGAGATCGAGTAATCGGGAACTTATCGTGCCTCGCAATGAATCACATGATTCTCATCATAGACTAAAGACTAAACACAATTTTGCAATCGAAATCAAAATCCAGGAACTGAAAAATCGGAATCGAGAAATCAGAAGATTGTTCGTTACCTCAGCGGCGAGGTACTCAAGAACGGCGGAGAGATAAACCGGAGCACCGGCACCAACACGTTCAGCGTATTTTCCGGCTTTAAGGAATCTAGCGATTCTTCCAACGGGAAACTGAAGACCAGCTTTAGACGATCGAGAAACGGACTTTGTAGCTTTCGGCTTTCCTCTGCCTCCTTTGGTTGTTCCACTGCCGGCGCCGGAACTCATCTTTTATTTATCGGAAAATTTGAAGAGGCGATTGAAAAATGAGTAGAGAAGACTGAGTTTTGTGACTGGAGTGATTTAGGGTTTTGGTGGTGATTTCTGGTATATATAGTATTATGATAATGGATTTTGATTGGTTAATCATGAATCACGCGGATTGCCAGCGTGGCACCATTGCTAAAGTTCTCGCGGGTCTTTTTTTTTTTTTTTCCGCCACTTTCCAACAAGTCGGTGAATTCTTCTGTATGACCTTTCTATAGAATTGACAAAAAAAAACTAGTATAATTTTTTTTTTTGTTTTTTCTTTTTCTGGTTGCTCAGAATCTCTTCTCAATACTATTAAAAGAGAAGTACAAATTCAATTCGGATCGGGTTAAATTAAAAAATTGAGGAGAATTGACCCGTAATTATGGTAATTTGATCATTCGATTTCAAAAGGAATTATCCACACAATAATGACCCGTAAGCATAAAAATGGATCTACAATATATACCTTGCAAAACAAATCCGACTAATATGGCAACTTGATCATTTTCTCAATCGATTTATCATTTTAAAGTAATTAAATCAACCATAATTTAGGAAATCTAATTGAGAAATATAATGAACTAGATTTTAACCCGCGGTACACCGCGGGGCTATATTTTCTTAAAAAAATCAAAATGTAATTTGTTTGATAGATTATTTTGATTGTTAATTTTAGGATTTCACCCGTGGTATACGATCTTTTATAAATATCAACCCAAACCCGTCCCATCATATTACCCGTCCCGTGAAATTAAACATTATTTAGTTATTTTTCTTTTTAATAATACTTTTATTTAAAAGCTATATAATTCAAGTTAATTTAAAAATTTCTTTTAAATGGTTCCCATAAGATATATATACAAATCCTTTAAATTAGATATTAACTAAAATAAACGCACCATAATTACTTATTAAGTAACAACCAATAAATTTCACCAAAAAATAGGTAACAGCCAATAAATTCTAAACGCAGTAATTAAAGAATGAGATATTAAAAAAAAAAATATCAAATAAGATATAAGAATCTTAAAATAATTGAACATCTAAATAATTTAATTGTTAGTGTCGATTTTAATGCCTTCATTAATGTGGATTTTTTTTTTTTTACAGAGAAATATTTCCTAAAGATTATCACATTAATGACTCAGAAAATTAAGGAAGATATGAATTTATGATTCTCGAAATCGTATTGGTAATATCTTTAATTAATATTTTTCAAATTTAAATAATTAATGCCAATGACATTCATCCGTAAATAAGGTCCAACTCCAAGATTTATTTGCTAAAAGTCATTCAAAAATGTATATATAGATTGTTATATTATTCCCTATAATATAGAAAAATAAAATGTGCCCCATAACAAACTTATCATTTTATGATATATCATATAATGCATACAATAAGTCTATCTTATATAAAAAGAAAATATGCCCCAGATTTGCTAACACTACTTTAAAAACAGAGATTCAAATAAAATGCATACAATAAGTCTATCTTATATTATGATACATCACCTATTTAACTTAATTACAGTTTTTCATTTCTTATCAATAGAATACATTAAAATATAAGTTCTTTTGTTGAAACTTACTAAATCGATAGATATAGGAATTATATACGATTTTCGATTTACCTTATCGCCATTTTTAAGGTCACTATTTCACTGTACATCAATCTTCACAAACTACAACCCAAGCTACCTGTATAATAAATCATTTTCATCTATTATAACTACTTAATCTCGACAATGTATTATTGAATTGTAAGTTCTGATTATGAATCGATTGCAAATTTCATGGATCTTATAGATGTAAAACATGAATTTTTCTTACCTCTTCGATTTTAATTCCATTAAATTTGCTAACAACGATAGAATTCGGAGATGCACTCTATCAATTGATGGGTCTCTGGGATATTTTGATTTCATTGCAGAAGAAGAATGGAGATTTCGTCTTCTTCGTTTACCCTTTGTTTTGTTTTCTGTTGTTTGTACACGTTACACGTATTAGACTCTTTGAACAGACACATTTCATATTGCAGTCCTAATCATTTTCCATATCTAAGCCCAATTTCATAAATATTATGTCAAAAGTTGGGCTTCAGATTGGGCCTTATTCTTACCAATATTGAATCCAAATGTCCATGTCTTCTTATTATGTGATTTTTATTATTCTACACTTTACAGACACATTTTAATAAAAACAATAAAACACGAACAATATTAAAAATCAAATCACAAACAAACGTAAAGAAATATCTTCCCCGCGGTGGCACCGCGGGCTCTAACCTAGTTGTAACTTGTAATCTGTAAGTAATTAAAATTTAAAGTAACTTATTTTGTCTGCTACAACTTGTAAATTATTTTAAAAAATTATACAAAAAAAATATTTGTAAGAATTTAAAAAATGATTTTTTTTACATCAAAGATTTTAAAAAATGTTTACAATTAATGAGATTTAGAGAGAGAGTGTAGCAGACGGGCGAAAAAAAAATGGTGAAAGTGTAGCAATTTTATAGAAGAGTCAAGTGCTATAAAAAATGCCAACAAAATATTTTAAATCAATTATAAAATAGAGAATATGTACAAAATAGCCAAATTTTTGTGGATAATTAACAAAATAGTACTATGCTAGAATAATTTATCGGAGACTTGTCGGAGAGTTCATCGAATTACATGTAATAGATCGTGAGGAAGACCAATGTTTATTGCTCTAAAAACCACACTACCAATTACCCCATATCTCTTCCCTAACATAGAGAAATCAGTTGTACATATGAACCATGTTAGACTGACTTAGTATTTCGGTGAACCAAAAAGAACTAAATTTTTTTTTCAAATAACTAAATTTAGGTAAAATGAACTTTTAATTGATTAAGATTTTAAGAAAATTATATCTGAGTTAACGAGTTTATCGGTCATTTTGGTTACAAAAATTTAAAAACGGTCGATCCTATCGGTTGTAGTGGCGGTTTACCTCTTTATTATAATAATGATTTTAATGTTTCAATTATTTATGAAAGTAATCGTTTAATTGATGTTGAGGCAGTGGTAAAAGGAAAAACAATACATCTTACTTTTGTTTATGGTGATCCGGTTCCGAAAAATAGAGATCAAGTTTGGGAACGGTTAACACGGATCGGTTTGATTAGAGACACACCCTGGTTCTTAATAGGCGATTTTAATGAGTTAACCGGAAATCACGAGAAAAGAGGTGGTAACTTAAGACATGCATCTTCTTTTATACCTTTTAATTTAATGATTCAAAATTGCGGTCTTTTGGAATTCCCATATATCGGAGACTGGTTATCATGGCGGGGTTGGCGGGATAAGAAACCAATACGGTGTCGTTTGGATAGAGCTTTAGCGAACGAAGATTGGCATGAATTATTCTGCAATTCTTTCGTTGAATATTTACCAATGGTAGCTTTCGACCATTCACCGGTGGTAGCTACACTCATGGATAAGATCCCATGTGGGAAAAGAAATTTTCGGTTTGATAAAAGATGGATTGGGAAGGAAGGATTATTCGAGGCAATTTCAAATGGTTGGAATTCTGACCCTGAGTTAGGAGAGGGAAAATTTGTAGAAAAATTGACTAATTGTAGGCGGGCTATTTCGCAGTGGAGGAAAGATTTAACTCCCTATGGGCGGCAAACAATTGAGGAACTAAAATCGGAATTACTTGTGGCTCAGAGAGATGATAGAAGACCACGGGAGGAGATTACCGAATTAACATTGCGGTTGAAAGAGGCTTATCGAGATGAGGAATTGTATTGGCATCAGAAAAGTAGGAGCTTTCGGATGCAGTTAGGGGATAATAATTCAAAGTATTTCATGCACTAACAAAACAAAGACGGGCTAGAAATCGAATAACAGGGTTACATGATGAAAACGGAATTTGATCTGCAGAGGATAAAGATATTCATAATATAGCGGTGTCTTATTTTAAAGAACTGTTTACTACAACTAAGCCTGAGGCTTTTGAGGAATCCTTGGCAGAAGTTCAAACTCTGATTACGGATCAGATTAATAATTTTCTAACAGCACCCGCAATGGAGTGTGAGGTGAGAACGGCTCTGTTTATGATGCATCCGGAAAAGGCACCAGGACCTGATGGTATGACAGCCTTATTTTTCCAAAAGGCTTGGGTTACTATTAAAACAGACCTTCTTTCTTTGGTCAATTCCTTTTTAGAGGATGAAATTTTTGATAAACTGTTAAATACGACTAATATTTGCCTTATTCCAAAAACGGAAAGACCGACACGGATGATGGAATTACGGCCTATCAGTCTTTGCAATGTTGGGTATAAAATTATATCGAAGATCCTTTGCCAAAGACTAAAGACGGTGCTACCAAAACTGATTTCGGAAACACAATCAGCTTTTGTAGAAGGACGATTGATTTCAGATAATATTCTCATTGCACAAGAGATGTTCCATGGGTTGAGAACTAACCCGTCCTGTAAAGGCAAATTCATGGCCATTAAAACGGATATGAGCAAGGCTTATGATAGGGTGGAATGGACTTTCATAGAGAAGGTCTTAAGAAAATTGGGTTTCTGTGAAAAATGGATTAAATGGATAATGTGGTGTATTACAACAGTCCAATATAGAGTTCTCCTTAATGGACAACCTAGAGGACTAATAATACCAGAGAGGGGTTTACGACAAGGAGACCCGCTTGTTGGTGTCGGATCCCGCACCGGAAGTACGAGACCAACCAAAGATTGCCACGTAATCAAGATAATGGCCCATAAAGGAGCCCAATGGACCCGTGAGCCGAAGGGACGGTCGAAGTGGTTGTCACCATTTCGAGAATCCGAAGTGACTGCACTGTGACACGAGTTCGGTGTAGAAGACACGGGAAAGTCGGTTCAAGGACGCTTGGGCCAAAAGAGGCGAGGCCCATGAAGATCAGAGTCAACTCAAATTCAAACGTTGAGCATTAAAGTCGAAGAATCAAAACGGACACATTTAAGAAGGAATAATTGTACTTAATTACTCATTTTAATGACGTTTACCTAGGTATAAATATAGAGGCCAATGGCCATGTAAAGGGGA